ATATAAAAGTGGTGTTGCACTGAACTACATTATATTCAAAGGTGTTCCTATTATTTTGACCCTCTCATGTGTGTAGCTCTGATTCTGACTTCATAACTACAGATGTCAGGGATGTCAGATGTTAACATCTGTGTGTATGAAGCTCAAAATGTTTCAGTTTTTGGTGAAATTGTCATAAATTCAATTTTATGTTTATTATTGATGTCATAGTTAAAGGTGGTGTTGTACTGGACTACATTATATTTAAAGGTGTCTCTATATTTTCCTCCCCAGCTACATACATGAGAGGGTCAAAATAATAGGAACACCTCTGAATATAATGTAGTTCAGTGCAACACCACTTTGAACTACGACCTCAATAATAAACATATAATTGAATTTATATATTTATGACAATTTCACCAAAAACTGAAGCATTTTGAGCTTCAAAAACACAGAAGTGGAAGTATTGTATCGAATTGCATACAATTATACAGGGGTACCTAATAAAGTGGCCAGTGAGTGTAAATTACAACAAAATTTAAAAAATCATGGATGTACAGTATGCTTAGAAAGATATACAAAACGTCTTGTTTTGGGTGTCTTTCACACTGAAACACAGACACACACACAGGGGGCAAGTTTGTTTGTCCAATGTGATTTCCTTTTTAAGCACCCCACACACACACACACACACACACAAAATGTAAAGTGTATTAATGGTTTTGAAGGATGAAGATGGCATTATCAGACAGCAAAGCAGTAACAGTGACAGTAGGAAGACAACAGGACAAAGAGGAAGACACAGTAGCAGCCGTGCCCATAGGACAAATCCCAGCAGCACAGGAGCTACAGTACATTAACACATACAGGTCACAGTGGAAAGGCAAGAGGTTTAAAGGTAAAAAAAAAAAAACACAAGAGAAGATACAGAAACAGAAGAAACCACAGTCACATGAGACAACAAGAAAAGCCCACTGTGGCAATGATACTCTGAGACTGTGTAGAAACATGTCACATTACTATGCTCTTATGATTAAAGGATTAAATTAGAAAAAACAACATTGTGTCTTTTGAAAGTTATGAAAGCCTGCTTTTTTAAGCAAAGTGGGGGAAAAGAAGTTACTCTGGTCTTGTAAAGTGTCTCTGGTTTAAAGATAGAAACTCCATATTACCCTCCAAAACTAGTGATATACCTGGGATTGAAGGGTTATGCATCTAGAAGTTCTGTCAACACATGCAATATGTAAATATGTTTCAGTCAAGTAGTCATTCATCAATCACAGAATATTATGCACTATGACCATTCAAAGAACAGGGCACACAAGTGGAACATCGAGAACAGAAATGAGAGAGAGGCTATATTTTGATTACTCAAACAGAAATCAGAACAAGTGAGACAGACAAATACATAGCTTGGAGCCAGTGAAAAAGTGAATATATGAGTTTTTACCTGTTGGGATGCTGGTTCAGCACTGTGGTCTCCAGACAGGGCCAAGTCCTGCAGCTCTGGGTCGGTCCTCTCCTCAGGTTGAGCTCCACCACTGGCTTCACTGTCCTACAGCACACCGTAAGAATATTAAATAAGAAAAGCACACTCATACCTAAAATACCTGTATACGTCTGACACAGACATGTAATCAAACAAACAGAATCAGTTATTCTTGTCAAAGATAGAAGCCTGGGAGCAAGGGAGTTATTGGGACATCCTGTGGTCTAATAGTTAAGGTGCATAACACATGACCACAATATCTACCGTCCTATTTTCAAACAAATAACCTGTGTTGCAAGTCATACCCCTCTCTTTCCCCTTATATCTCATCTCCCTCTATACTACCATCAATTGCCAAAAAAGTGTTATAGAAGGCAAATTATTCTGTCTACCTCATACTGCAGGCCTCCTCCAAGAGCATCCAAGTCAAGATGGAGATTCTTTAGAAGTCTGTCTGAACTACGAGGACTGTGCTGAAAAGATAATATCAAGTTTTATAAGTGCAAAGAGCATGTATATCTAAGAGCCAAAAGAAGCTAAACCAACAACTTCCATCATTTTACTTTTGTCTTTAAGTTGCACTGTACCTCATTTTCTGAGATTTTGTCTTCACCATCATCAGAGCCAGGCAGAGTAACAGACACCCGCTCATCCTGCCTGCTGCCTAAAACACTGGATACCCCACTACTCCAAGGGCCCTGACAGAAGAAGAAATTGAACACAGTATGGAAAAAGGGTTTGGGAGAGTCTGAAGAAAGCTTATCATACAGTATGAATCTTCACAGAGCACTAGAATCTTACCCCAAGGGATGTCTTAAGGGGCTCCAGCCCGCCAGAGCTGCCAAGGGACCCCCGGAGAGCAGGGGCAGGTCCAGAGAATGGGCCTGGGCCAGGGACATCCAGACCTCTCAGAGGAGCCAGGCTGCCCAGTGGGGATGGCAGGGGTCCTAATGGTAAACTCAGTGCCTAAAGAACAAGCAAACAAATGGCCGACTGGGTGTGTCAAAGGATTCTGATGTCTAGCAACAATGAATTGTTCCTATGAAACCAGCTGTGGGGTCCATCTCTCTTCAAAAGAAGCATCAACAACATATTTTTAACTGCATTTTATTTACTGAAATGTTTAATCTAACATAGATCAAGCATTTGCATCTTCGGGGAAGGCCTTTTTAGTGAAGCCTAATTTTGCACTTGTTTGGCTAAAAACAAACATGGTGCTGAGGTGACCAGTGTCTTAATGTTGTCATGTCACTAATATTAAAACTATGTAAAAATATAATAACCACCCACTCCGGGAGTCTTGAGTGGCTCCTTCTTTTTTTTCTCCTTCTTCTCCTTCTTGTCTTTCTTCTTCTTCTTGTCCTTCTTTGCTCCGGTTGCTCCAGCAGTGGCCGTGAGCTGGGTGCGTTCACGCTCCTGGGCAACCAGGCGACGGTAGTGCTCATCACAGGGATGATCCCAGGTGGACTGGCCCGTAGAGAAGTTAAAATAGTAGATGTCTCCAGTCACATCCTGGCTGTGGAAGAGGGGGGGATGGGGGAGCAGGGTAATTAACCATTTGCTGCTCTTACGACTTCCAAACAAGCTCAGGAAAGGTAAGGAGTGGGTAGATAGGTATGTGAACAGAGGGATGTCACCAGAGCATGTGTTGTCACCTGAAACCAAACAGTGAGGCAAATAAACTGTATAATTCCACATACCCATATCTAAAAGATTTGTTGGGCCATAAACTATGAATAATGTTTGAGAGCAAATTTCAGTTTTATTCTTAGAGCAATCTCCCTCAAATCATCAGACAGAAGCTCAATATACAAAATCAACCAGTTCCTTGATTTGTTTTCTCTGTGATTGATTATCATCATCTGTGGACAGGAACACACACACACAGATGTGAAATAGTGGACAATGTATAGTGCACAGGGTGGTCACTTGAATTTGAGTTTTAAAGTAGTTCTGCATTATATTATTATTTTTGAGCAATAGTCAAAATACTGGCTACAGTATAGAAAAATCAATCATCCACATACCCTTCAAACTATACCTTAAATTGAACTGTGTTCTGATATTGGTATATTAAATGGGCGCTGAAATCAGTTAAATTCATTATTTATACAAGTTTACTGCAGCTAACATCTCCCTGTTGAGTGAAGGTTGCTATGCATCTTAACTTTACAGTTGTTAGGAACAGACCTTCACCCTTGGTTAGCTGTGAGGACACAAACACTCATGCAGCACAGTAGATTCCTATCAAACATACTCAAATAAATTAAAGTGGCTGGGTAGCATACCTGACAGCTGCTGTCTTTGGGGCCTCATTCAATATCACTACGACTATTTACAACATCACACCGTTTAAATCCATGCAGACAATGTTTCCTCACTATGTTTGCTATACAACTTCATTCCATATTATAGTGATTTCTGTTAAAGATTCTCCCCTTACTTACCACGGCTTCCACTCGGGAGGCAGAGGGGCAACAATGCCCTCCCTGGCCAGCCACAGGAGCTCTGGCTCACTGTTGGGATCAATGCCAATCTCTCTTGCGTACTCTTGGATCTCTGATGATAAAGAGAAATAGAGAAACACAGAATAATATGAGGAGTTGAATGTACCGTAAGTCTGCTCTACAGTATCCCATAACAAACAATGCTGTACACATGTGAACTGAACAGCTCACTTAGGCAGGGTGAGGCACCCGAAAATATACCATGATATAACAGTATGAGTGGTCTCTTTCAGGACTGTAAAGCCCCCATCTGTGGGCCACTAGGGGTCAGTGAAAGGTTTAATGAGTGTGAAAATGATGTGAATCATATGCTATGGCCTTCAAAGTCACCAGATCTCAACACAGTTGAACACCTATGGGACATTTTGGACCGAGGTGTTAGACGGCGTTCTACACCACCATCTTCAAACCACCACATGAGAGAATATCTTTTGGAAGAATGATTTGTCACTGTGCACTCGCATGTGGCAGTCCAACACGTTACTAAAAAACATTATATTGGGCTTTCCTTTTATTTGACACCTCTCACACACACACACACACACACACAAACACAGAGGGAGGGAGAGGGATACGGGGGCTGCTGTATTCAATATTATTCAAACTACTTATCTTTTATGCAACAATAATCAACATATATCGGTGTTGTTAGGTATTTTTAGTCAGATAGAAATTGGATAGATACTTTATGTATTAGAAATGTTTAGTGGAGATAGGATGGCTAGTTAGACTGTTAAATGCTTAGTCATGCTTATGAGTTTCTACAGGGTACATCTGGTCAAGGATAACTAGAGAGAAGAGCTGATGACTGTCAGCAGACAGGGTGTTTAATATTATTATTATGACGTGTATAACTGTAGCCTTAGCCATAATATGTTCTTATGTTTGAGTCACGACATGTTACTAGAAGTCTGTGAGAATGTTTTTAGTTACACACCACTTAACCAACAGACACACACATTCACACGTTGATTTGCTTCATGTTTTGACTACTGCTATGACCAGCTGCAAAGCTGGTAACAGAGACGTCTCGGTTGACGTTTCTGTGTAGTATGGGGCTAGCCCAACCGAAGGGATATAATGTACAGGCCTGTTGGGTTTGGGGTTTTTCATCTTCCAGCTGCCTGCGTGCAGTTTGGGGGTGCAAGATGCCTGAGCGTGTAATGTTAATTTTTACCTGTGTTCATGGAATAAATCAGCACTGTTTTGTAGTTACTTGGACTGCCTCGTCTCTCAGAGTCAGTACGGTAAAAAGTACCGGGTACAACAGTGTAAACCAATCAAGCCAAGGATTTCACATCGGTTCAAACCTTGTTCAGAGGGTATATAGTTCTCATCATAGTCCTCTTCAAGGATCAGCTGGTCTCCTACGAGAGCAGCTGCAGTCATGGTTACTGCAGACACCGAAAATGCAAAACAGAATGACTGACCGGCAAAAGAAAGGAAGATATAGATAACATAATATACTGTTCGTATTATAACACTATGGCAGAAAACTAAAGATTTTATTTTGCCATTCATTGTCGCATCCAGCCAGACAAAGAAAAGCGAGGGTTTATTATAAAACCGATCTTAAATGTGCAACAGTAACGCACATTAGTATTTACGTAGATAGAAAAATATCGACGTGAACTCGTTATAAAGGTATTAAATAGAGTAGTACGTAGGACAGCAAGGAAAGGGATGAGCTAATTAAACTAGCATCTCAGCCAACTTCAACATTAGCTGGGCGCCATCTAACTAGCTATTTAACGTTAGCTTAGCTAGCCGACTAGTTAGATAACAGCGTATTTCTGATAAGTGGTTTACCTTCCAAACATTTAATCGCTTTCTCATTTGCTCATGTGGCAATGTCGATTAGTCGTCAGTGTTTTGACACAAACATTATGTAGGAGGGAGAAAATGCGAGTTACTCCAACATCTCCAAGGACGCTTCCCCGTTTCCTGTTGACGATGGAGACGTGAATCTGACTGGCTGAGCCACATGAAGCGTTCAATCATCCTCGTAAGATCCCAATTCGAGTATTTGCTCTGCAAACTTGTATCGGCAATCTTGTGGAAATGGAAATCTTTTATCAGTAAAATCGCGCGTGGCTTTTGTTTGATTGAAAGACACGTCAAAAAACCGTCTTTGCCTATGCAGAACTGCAGACACTAAATAATATCAAAGATACTTTTGCTTTTTTTTATTAAATTGAGCAATATTAATGTATTAAAAAAGGTAGGCAGACCTACGTGTAAAAAAACAAAACAAGAATACCAAATGATGAATTTTTTTTGTCTTTTATAGAATACTTATTTGTCTATATAACTTGAATGGGTCCTTCAATTTAATGCGCTTTATATTTTAAACTGCACCTGAAAGTACCAATCGTTATACATGTTCAACCACTTACACATGCCTAAAATATCACTTTCTGATTGTTTTTGCTTTGCTTGTGAAACATGTGTAGGTGTATTTATTTTCATGTGTAATTGTAAGGAAAGTTGGTGTGTCAAGTGGCACTTTCTCTCCCTAAGCCTCTCACTCACAGCTGGGGGCTGCATTAACACTGTGCTGCTAAACAGTGCCCTTGTCCAGTCCTGGAAGGAGTGATATCAGATTGCTGACACCTTTATCATGCAATTCACTCTTGACTATTGTCAACAAAACCGGTGTGGTGCAGTGATATGTGCAGAGGGTAGGACTGTAGCTTTAAGTACATGGCACTGTGTTAGTTTGACTTCTGTCCTGATGTCTTTACAAAGGGTTTTAACCACAAGAGGGCAGAAGAGGGAAGGACTGATGAAACATCCTAGTTCACTTCACAAGTTGTCTCTACTCCCCAAATGGCAGTTGTAGCAATGCACTGAACTGGGTAAATAATTTCAATGCTTTATCTTAATGTGGTGCCAATAATGCACAAAGGTGAACAACACTCAACATATATTTTCCTATTCCTCCATGTAGGAGAATTTCTTACTTATTACACATGCATTCATTTTCTAACACGCACACTCCTATGGGCAATTTAGAGACACCAATCAACCTAAGCTGCATGTCTTTGGACTACCTACCTACATATGAATTATTATAATTGCTATGCAGCAGGATATAATACGTACCAAAAACCTATCTGAATTAGGTTTTGGACATGTATGGCTTTATATAAGAACGACAGTTCTTCCATCCTGTGTTTGTTTTGTCTATGGCGTGGGCAGTTGGTTTTAGGATCAGGGTGAATGGCCTCTATGTCTTGGGCAATGGTAGCTTTAGAATTACAAACAGGCCTTGAAACTCAAGATGACCAATTCAACACCTACGCACCAAACTAGAACAGACCAGTCTAATGTTAAATTGCACCAAACTAGTCCCAATGTGCAATTGCAATGTGTAATACAGTCTCAGCACTACAAAATTATATCATGCACTTTGTTTCAGTTTGAGAATAAACTACAATATGGTAGCAGTGAAGTTGATTCTTTACAATATTAAAACTTGTTCATTTATGACAGTGGTAGCCCTGTTTTTCTGCTTTTTTTTGTTGCAATACTTATGAACTTGCAGATTCAATACTTCATTTAGACATTATTTAAAACTAGTGGTGAACAAAAAATATTCAAATAATTTATGTAATAGTTACAGTGAATCTAAGATACTCACAGTAAAGTTAATATATTCAAAATGTTATATTTCTACATATGTATTTAAGTGGTAACTTACACTTGAAAATCAGAAATGTAATATTTATCTGCATACTTGTAGTCCATTGTAGATAGAGCCATCAGATAAGTGTAGTGAAGTAAAACACAAATTTTCCTCTGAAAAACAGTAGAATAGCAGTCAAGTAAATGTGTATTAAATAGTACCATAAAATGATCTAACATAATTAATAAAATAGTTTTACTGGCTGCTCTTCTTGAGGGGACATGTACAGTATGCACCTATAAAGAAAGTAAAGAATTACACTATATTGTGTGTTCATATTTTTTTTTTAAATAATGTCCTTCTGGTCATTTTAACATTGAATTTCTTGCTGCATTTGCATCAGCTTCACTTGATCAAGGGAAATGTTTTTCTTATGTTGCCAGGTCCTAACATTTACTGCACACTTTAACAAACCGTTTTAACTTTAAAACAGTCGTAAGAACAGAAAATGGTTAAATAGCATAATAAATGAAGAAGATAATGTTCCCTGTCAGTGGTCCAAGTGACAACTCATTGCATGTTGATTGGCACAGAATTTGCCCTGCTGTGTCTCATTATTCTCTGATTAAGGAGGTGTCGAATAGTGAAAGTGTCCTTGAGACTGTGTGGATTATTTTATGAATAAACACTAGTTCATGGTGACAGGACATCGTCTTATTTTGCTCTCGGAATGATTTAGGTTATCAGAGTTCAGGGTGGATTCTCTTGCTTTGCTGGCGGGCTGTACAACCCACAGAGCGCTGCAACCTACAGTGACACTCTACAACCAGGTGGTGTAAATATCTTTATTAAAGCAGAAGCGACCTCAACAGATGTGATATTGCAAAATCACATCAGTGAAGTGGTGTGTGTATTGGAGAAAATGCGAGAGAGCTCCACACTGTTGCTTACAGCTGAGACAACCACCCCTGCTGATTTAAGAACAGTACTCCATCATGAAGGCAACTGGAACAATGACGTGACCTCTGAACCTCAGTCAAAGCCTGATCAAATGGTGGAATTGCTGATTAAATATTTATCATCTCCAGGCAATTACCCCACATCTGTCTGTTTCATGGCCACAGGTTGCTGATCATCAACAAACAAGATCTTAGTAGAGCTTTGACAAATCCCATCACGTTAACCTGGATATTTAGCTTTATGTAACTTTAACAAAAACCATCAAAATAGACAAAATTCTTCTTTCAATACATGATTGTCTCTATTTAACATTCATGTTTCCTTAAATTAAATCCACAGAATGCTTGCAAACCTATTGATAGTGCTGCCAATGAGGTGACTGTGATTTAGCCCAAAAGTTACAGTATAACCCTGAAATTTGGTCCTTTAAATTGTTTGTCTCTAACCTTTACTGTCCCATTGATAGACTTTTGGACATATTTTTGCCAGTTTTAAATGTTTTTCTCACCGTGCATAAGAATGGAGTGTTCAGCTGCCTTTAAAGTGTTACAAAATATGTAGCCTTAGCAACTGTCTCACCAGCTAACAGTACTGAGGTCCTATTGATAGCAGTTATGACGGTAGTAATCAAGACAGATGGCTCAGAGTGAATGCTGAATCAGCGGTGCAATGCAAGCAGTCTCAAAGGTTGTGGTACCAGATAAGAGTGACTCTTTTGACAAGACCTGTTTCACTCAGGGTCAGCAGCTCTGAGCAGCTGATATGTAGAACACTCTTATCTCACAGACCAGGGCAAAAGCCCTAAAGACTGCTGCACAAAGACAGTACAAGCTGAAGCCATTCAGAGGGGCCATGTGCTGTGATTTGTTCTGTCTCTTACTGTGCTTGGTGCATATAGTGGTGACCTGCAACTAACAGTTATTTTCCTTATTGATCATTTTTATTACTTTATTACTCTTACTTTTTGAAAAATGTCCCTAACAGTTTCTCAGAATACAAGGTAGCATCTTTAAGGTGTTTGTTTTGTTCAGCTAGTGGTTCAAAACCCAAACATTATTTAAGACAATTTAAGGATTGCCAAAGTTTTTTCAGTTGCTTTTTTTGTCGATTGACAGCACTAGTACACTGCTGTTTTAAAGTAATGCATTCAGTTCTCTTTATTAGATTTTGATACATTGCTTTACTTGGCTAAATTATGTCCGTCCCTATTGCAGACACACGTCACCTACAATGCTTCCATTGTTAAATGTTTCTCATTGTCTACTGTATTTTGCTAATTGGTCTCAGACAAATGTCTAGAGTTGATAAGGACAGTGTGAGCTCAGCAGGCATTGATGAGACTTACATCTGTGACTGCTTTGTTACCCACACTCATCAGGCTCAGCTTGGCTCCTGTCTGTAAAAATAAAGAGTGAACGAGTCTGTAGTGAGAGAGAAGACTGACACCACAGTGTCAAAGCATAAATGACAAAAGGAAACGGATGTGGGAAAGACAAGGCATGGCAGAATGTGATCAGGCCTTTAGACAGGCACAAACAGACTCTAAAAACAATCACACAACGAAAAACATTGTAGAAAAACAAATCCTTGCACAATGTAGTGAAACGCAACACCACAACTCTGCAATAAATGCAGTAAATATCATAACAACCACACCACTGTAAAGGGCCCACAAGAAATCATATGCAAACAGTTTGATCCACTATATACAGTTGAGTTTCTAATAGTCTAAGGGACAACTTCAGTCTCAGCTATAAACAGTGTGCTGTATGTGTGTCACACATTACAAAAAGCATGCAGTGGACACGATAAAATCACTCAGAGCAAGCAATGATAGTCCAAAGGTTTTACAGCTACAGTAATGGCATTCAGACAAACATGCATTGATTGTATAGACTACTGGAAGGGTTAGGCCACAACCCGCAGACCAGACTTTTGCTTACAATTCATTTCTACTGACCACTGATGACAATGATTAACCTTGCACCTAATAACCCTGCCGTATTAGACTAGCTTGCACCCTGACAGTAACTGGTTTCAACATTTTTCTTCCATCTTGGTACCCCTGTTACTATATGCTTGTGCAGTTATTTCCTCACAAGGGTTAATTAAACAAATATTACTGAAAGTGCATATGTTATGTGACTTCTTCCATTAAAATTAAACTGTTTATTTACATAAACAGTGTGTTAATATATATTTTATGTTAATACTATTTATTGATTTTACCACATACTTTCAATCTTTGTCTGTGTTTTCACATAAAACCTTAAATCTCAAAAGAATATGAGCAGGTAACAATTTTCTATGGGTAGGGCTTGTTTGACAGAAGACATTATAATCAGTGGTAGAAGAAGTATTTGGATTCTTTACTTAAGTAAAAGTAGCAATACTCTGTTACAAGTTTAAGTCCTGTGTTATTGGACTATAATTATTGATGAATTATTATGTACAGTACATCACATTTAATGCAGGAGATGTTAACGGTGGAACTAATGTTAACTACCTAAATATAATAGGAATTACAGCTGGGTAACTTGTGAATTTCCAACCGGGAATCATTAAAGTATAATGATTATATTGCATTTTGGTTTATTAGATTCTGAAAAGTAACTAAAGTACAGACTGCACAAATTTTTTTACAGAACTTAACTAAATGTACTTAGTTACTTTACACCAATGATGACAGTGTCTTGTGCACATATGTGTATAATTAGAGACGACTCTGCATGCTATAATGATTCCTAGTTCTCAAATTACATAAAGCCACAGTGACAAAGTCCACCAGTGACAGGACAACAAACAACAGCATGGTACACGCTACACTTTGACCCATTAACCATCGCACACATACCAGCTACAAATGTTATCTGCGACGTGAGATAAGTCTGTCTTGATACTTTGTTCTTTCTTGATTACTGCACTATGTTACGTTGTCTTGTTAGTGTAGGTATATGTGTCTGTATTTGTTATTCACAATTTATTGAGAGGATACTGAATGTGATCACGTTTCAGAGAGTCAATTGCGTCAAGTCAGTGTCTATTTGCTCTTGTGTGTTTTTCTTGGCAGGGTCAACAGTGCAGCTTCTCTGCCCTTCATGCTCTTCTCTAACAAATGCAAGGAAACTAGTGTGGTGAGTCAGCCTAAACTATTGTTTGAAGAGTATGTCATAAAAATGTAGAAAATAAATCAGGGCCCAGTCCAGGCACCTTTACTTAGGCTATGTAAAAAAAAAAAAAAACATTTTTTTTTCTGTAGCCTTATCTTTTTTCAAACTTTTTTGCTTGTTGTCCACTTTATTACCCTTCATTCCAACCATTTTTCTCCTCCACCACTTCTTCGTTTGACATAATAGAAAACCTCTATATTATGACTCATATTCAAACCACGCCATGGCCCCATCTTGACATCAAGTTGGCTTTTTATGTCTTCTATACAATAAGAAAGGCCCTTATCAAGTTAAGAAAATGCTAACAAGTACCACCAGTAAAATGTCCTATTGTCCTAAAAAGTGTGGTGAATTTTGAGCATTATTAGATTCTTTGTACTTCTGATTTGTACTTTTCTACTTAAGATTTGTACTTCTGCAAAAGTTACAGTACATGTATGATAATGGTATCCTGTGACTGCATTTGTCAGTGTGTCTGCTGCCTTCCAGCAGGTGACCACTGAACTCTTAACCCAGTCCCCCCTGCTGAGGGAGATGACTGGGGCTGAGGTCCATCTCCACAGAGACACACAGTCCTCAAACCTCCACCCCCCCTTTCCTCCTCACATGGTCTCATCCCTCACTCAGACACTATAAAAGTCTGCTCTTGCTGAAGTTGTTCACTATCATCAGCAACTCCACCAGGTAAGACCACCAACTAGTGTAGAATAGGTCATCAGAAAAGAATAACTGTTGAGTGAGCCTTCTGCACTCTGTAAGCTTTGATGAAGTTGTGAACATATGCCAAAAATCAGTTTCTCTGGAAGAAAGACAAATTGTAGTGTCAACTTGACTCTGAGATGTCATTTAATTAATAGCAACTTTTAGATCATGGTGTTTAGCTGCGAATTGAAATTGTCTGTGAGTTCGGAGAGCCTATTTGCTAATTCTCTGATTGTGTCAGCAATGCATAGCAATCCAGTGCTAATCCGCTTGCGTTTTCTCAAATCTACCGAGATTGCAGTTCTTTTAATAGACAGCCATATCATTAATATTAACTAAATTGGGCTCATTCAGGGATAGGTATGCAGCTTTAACAGTGTGTTGAGCCATTCTTACTTTCAAGCCTGCTTTTATGGCCTTCACAATGCTTTGAGGTGAAGGACCTTTTTGTATTAACAGGGTTTGATTTGGTTTTCTATTTTAAAATTGGATTTTTGTGCATTTCTTTGTGGAATGTAAGCATTTATTTATTGAAACTCCTTTAATTGTAATACTGTGAGTGTATCATGTCCACTGAAAAACCAATAACTTTGTCTCTTTTTCCATTCTAGACCAACATCATGAAATTCGTAGCTCTCGCTCTTGCCCTTCTGCTGGCTGTCGGTGAGTACTGACTACTCTGATTTGCTAATACACTAACCTGCATTTACAGCTTCACCCAGTCAGACTGTTTTACATAACAGATACAATATCTAAAATAAATGTTCTATTTTAAATGACATTTGAAATACTGTGTTGTCATCTCTCCTCCCCTCCTTTCCTTGCCTTTCTTCCTCAGGCTCTCAGGCCGCTCCCCTGCAAGCTGATCCTCATACCCATTTGGCCCATGCCCGGGCTGCTCTGGATGTCTACTTGAATAATTTGAGGGAAAGTGCCCAGAGATCACTGCAGGGCCTTGATGACACTGAATACAAGGAGCTCAAGTAAGGCTGTACCATTCTCCTCAGCCAATCCCACCTTCTGTAACTGATACCTTCTCAGTCACTTGTTCATTCCACTTTCTACCTTTATCTGTCTTTTGAGTTCTTTTGTCACCATTTATGCATTGGTATATTTATTTAACTTGAGCTAAAATTATATTTCTCTCTCTATCTCTGTACTCCCCCAGGACCAGGCTAAGTCAGCGCATAGATGAAATTCACAATCAGATTAGTGCTTTGCGGGGTTCTATTTCCCCTACCACTGACAATGTTGTCTCTACCATTGCTGAAGCCACAGCTGACTTCCGTGCCTCTGTCATTAATGACATCGAGACCCTGAAAACTGAGCTTGCGCCCAAACGTGCTAAGCTGAGGGAGGTCATCAACAAACACTTCGCGGAGTACCACGCCCAGTTGGACCCCATCTTCAAAGAGTACCATGACCAGCATGCAGCTAACCTGGAAGCTCTGAAGACCAAGCTAGAGCCCATTATGGAGGAGCTGCGTACCAAGGTGGCTACCAACATTGAGGAGACCAAGGCTGCCCTGTTGCCCATTGTGGAGGCTGTGCGTACCAAGCTCACTGAGCGTGTGGAGCAACTGAAGGAAATTGCCACTCCTTACGTCGAGGAATACAAGGAGCAGATGAAGCAGGTCTACGACCATGCACAAAATGTCAGCCCCGATGACCTTGCTGCCCTGAGAACAAAGGTTGCAGCTTCATTTGATGGTATCAAGGAAAAGCTCCAGGAAATCAGCCAGGCCATTTCTGCTACCTTCACCCCAAACTAAATCCTCTCTATCCTGTCTGATCTTAATCCATTCCAACTTTCTCCATTCCTTCTTTCTTCACATGCACACACAGAGCACCTCCCAAAATGAAGCCAGTGCTTAAATGATGCACTTCTTTGCAACAAAATGGTGGGACTCTTATTCTCTCTCCCAAGCAAACACCTTGCACAAGCACATGAAAGCAAAGAAATACACGGACATACATGCTCAGCACACACATGCTTCACTCAGTGCTTGGCCAACTGCTTACATTTTGTGTAACAGTTGTACGTGTTGTGCCTGAACCTGTGTAATGATGCTTAACTGATGAAAACTGTGCTTTGATGATATACAGCTCAATAAACATCTGACTGTTTATACTATCTCTGACTCTAACTTGAACAGTTTCATATACCATTTAGATTATTTTCTTTTTTCTTAATCTTAAATAATTAGTCTGTAATGAAGCAAAATTGCCTATAACACACTGCAATTCACTTTGTTATTACATTAGCATCTGCATCTTCTAAAGCCAATATTACAATATAATTAATTTGATTTAAACTATCAAAATATAATATGCAATTTGAGAACAGAAATTACCCTCTCATGAAAATAACAGTAAAGCTTTAGCTTTATGGAAGTGTGTTTGACATCACTGAGCTGCTAAGGTCCTTACACACAGGCAGCATTTTTGGGAGGTCATCATTGAACTAAAGGTCCTTTGGACAAGAACAATATCAATACAATCAGTTATACTTAATACAGGAATCCAATACCATATGAGGTATTTCTGCCTGTGGTCCTGAGCACTGTGATTAATGAGCTGGTTGTGGGTGCAAATTGGCCTATTGGCCTATATAGTCATGTGCTTTATTAGGGAAAAGCCCACAAGTGACTAAGTCATGTGCTTTATTAGGGAAAAGCCCTCTTTGCTGGGTTGGATCCCTCAGGCTAGAACCCTTCAACACTGTTCCATTAAAGTGCCACATGAGGATGTAGATGCAGATATGCGTACACACATCACAACTACACAACTAAATACTTCCAAACACATTTGTAAGGAAACAATTTGAGTGATCATGGTCATAATATCATTTGTGAAATATTTTGATATGACACAAAACTCACTTCACATGCACCATGAGACACTCTGAGACCTAACACCATTAACAGCAAACAACAATGGAATTAAGTCCAGAACTTTATCATTGTATTCCTGCCACAGTCTAATTTGTAGTATTTTATAAATATGCAAGAATGTTGCCATTAAACAAAACCAGAAAAAACGCTTTTAATTTTTTCATTATGGGTAAATAAAACCCTCTTTTTTTGAAAATCTACCTGTGGCTTCACTTCCCCTCACTCCACCTTAGTCAGTTTTTAGAAATAACCAATTCTCCAATTAGTATGGTGTTGAAATTGCACTCCAACAAAATAGGCTTTGAATAATAAAAGCAGTTTGTTGTCTTCATCTGTCCACACCCTGTAACACTGGGCTGTTTAGGATGTTATTAATCTGCTACTGGTTGGACAAGACAAGCTCCACTTAAGCCTTTAGGCTATAAGAAACTATCGGAATTGCAAGCAGAGATCTCTAGATGCTCCAGAAACACGGTGTGTGTGTCTGCACGTGCACACATTTATGTATTCACAGTTCATGAGGGCATCAGCATGCATGCGCGTGCAGCTGTGATTAGTGCATTCCATTGACAATATGAGTATTGTAATGGATGAGGCCAGCATGGAGGTCCCCGGTGAGAGCCTCATGGCATATAAAGCCAGCTTGTTTCTGGACACAACAACCACTCACTTGGATGTGGATCTACCACAGCACCTGGAGCTGGACAGAGGGGAAGATTTTTGCCTTCAGTTTTATGTTGCATAGTCCCCGCTAGTCTTGGTCAGCCCCGATGATGACAGGAGTTGAAACTTGTGGCCTGAAGTGAAAGAACAGACTACAGTGAACAGAAATATCAGAGGAAGAATTTTTAAAAATCATCCATATTATTCATCTAGAAGACATTCAAAATATGGACGGTAAGTGTTTTATGTTCAAAACTGTGAGCTTTGTGGAGAACATATACATTTATATGATGACTACAGACAAAACCTGTGATCCAAATCTCAGCTAAAGTTCCCTTTACACCTTTCTTCTCCTCAGGTCCTCAGCTGTCCCAGAGCTGTGAACTGTCACCACCCTGGCGTGCAGACGGGGGGCCACTGTCGAGCACCAAGGCCCCTCAGATCACTGGGGTTAGAGTTCAGCTGGAGATGCAAGCACTCTGGCAGCAGTTTGACCAGCTGGGCACAGAAATGATTGTTACCAAAGCTGGAAGGTGACAATATAACACACAGATTTATGTTCCATAATTAACTTATCTTGCACTTTTTCCTCTTATTTTTATGACATTATGCTCATTTATGTGTTCATATGTTGCAGGAGGATGTTCCCAACATTCCAGGTGCAAATCTCTGGGATGGATCCTGCTGCTGAATATGTCCTGCTCATGGACTTCATTCCTGTTGACAATAAAAGATACAGGTCAGTCACACATACAGAGTGAGGTGTCAGCAATTACTGTGCAACAGACAGAAAATGTTTTTACCTTATTTTTGATCTGTTTCATTCAAGCCGATATTGTCAGCGTCTCACCTAGATCTGTGCTTTTTGAAACTTTGCAAACATCATCGGACATTACAAGTCCTTATTCCAAACATTTTATTGTGTGTGTGTGTGTCAGATATGCCTTCCACAGCTCATCCTGGTTGGTGTCAGGGAGAGCAGATGTTACAGCCCCAAGCAGGATGCATTTCCACCCAGACTCACCTGCCCTTGGGGCTCAGTGGATGAAGCAGACTGTATCCTTTGATACTCTCAAGCTCACCAATAACCTGCTGGATGACAACGGACATGTCAGTTGATGTCTTTAATGTGACTCCTGCATTACAAAGGAGCAGAGAACTTAAGAAAAAAAGCACAATGTTTTGATTTCCATTTCATATTAAATGTCCTCTTTAGACTTGCTTGTCGTGTTTCCTCCTACTTCCTCTTTGCTAGATGATATTAAACTCCATGCATCGCTACCAGCCTCGCTTTCATGTGGTGTATGTGGATCCAGTGCCTAACAGCCACTTAAATGCATACAGAAACTTCTGCTCTTTTTCCTTCCCAGAGACATGCTTCATGGCAGTCACTGCCTATCAGAACCACCGGGTAAGAAACCCAGAATCAACAGACTTCAAACTGAATATTACCCAGGCCCATCAGATACCTGACACTTTTCTACCATGGCAGTTTTTTTTTCATTGTGCATGAATTAACATAACTAGGTTTAGGCAGTCATTTATTTGGTTTTTGTCTTATTTATTGTACCCCCTCTCCCCCCCTCTCTCTTAGATCACACAGCTAAAAATAGCTAGTAACCCATTTGCTAAAGGCTTCAGGACTACAGATCCCCAAGACTGGTAAGTGTCTTATCAGTCATTCACTCAGGCCTGAATGCAGCTGATTAAGAAACACATCTTTTCCTGCATAGGCCAGTCGAAATCACGACTAGATTACAGTGTATCACTGTTATCAGCTGGCAAACAGTGATAAGGCAGCAGACTGGATGATAACTAATCTTTGACCTTTGTATGCAAAGGAAGTTCACACAGGGCAAACCATGTATGGTGAACAGTGAGGTTCATGATCATCTGTGTGTGTGTGTGTGTGTGTGTGTGTGTGTGTGTGTGTGTGGGTGGGTGCGTGTGCATGTGTATAGGGTGGGTAATTCCAGGCCCCTGGCAGTGTGGTGTCCGCCAGAGGGCAGAGCAAAGCCCCTCACCACCAAACTTGAAGAGCAGAGAAGCAGGGGCTCAAAACCTTCAACTAGTGGGTATCGCTAGTTAGTATATGTTAATTGCAGCAACTCAATGTGAATAATCTTGTTCACTATACATTGTTTCATTCTAGTTTTTGCTCATTTAATATCATTCTTTCCAATTCACCCACATCAACTATTTCTATACAGGGATTGCTTGAGGTCCTTTGCAAATTTCCTTTAATTTTGTAATAATAAATTGTTGGAGCTACAACATTTGATGAATAGATGGTTATTACAAAAGGCTGATTTAAAGAATAAATTATGAAACACATTACTCAGTATTTCTCAGTCTTAATACTCTGGTGTTATGAAGCTGATTGTTTAACTGGCAGAATCTGATGATTAGAATAAGCAATGTGCCACTTATTTAGGTTTTAATAGACAGAGGATACAATTTTGAGCTAAATATCAATCACTCTTACCTGTTCAACAATTTTTTTACATTCTCAGGACAGAAGGAGCCTACCCAGTCGGTGGAGCAGAGCGAACTGTTTCACCACTGCCAAGACTCAGTTGGACTCACCATAGAGAGGAAAGATGGTGGCAGCTTTTTAACACCTTCTTCCTTTGTCCCTCTCACTTCCTACTGGGACTGTACAGGATCATCTCAAGTGAGAGATAACCTGCCATAGGAAAAAATGATCAAAGTGACACTGTTTTTACTTGCTCTTTTATTTTGTGTTTATAATAAATGTACATAGTTTATGGTCTCCCTCACCAAATTAATTTAGGGATACTCATTCTGCAAGTTATAAAGTTATGTAAGTGTTAGATAGATGAACTGCAATGAAGCCATATGGTATAAGTATAGTATCATACACATAAAAAAAGTAAAATACAAGAAGCTCTATCAAACTCACAAGTGAGTAACAAACACTCTATGTCTCGTCCATTAAAATCACATGGTGATTTCTCATTTTAACATTTTTGCAACTGCAATGCATCTGTATGTTTTCTGGGTTAATAAAAATACCTTCCAATATTTTTATTGCAGAGTTGTTCCTAAATTTAGTTATGGTTGTTCGGGATGAGAGCAAGCCTGATATGAGAATAGAAATTACTATGATCCGCGAAGTAATCACGGTGAAAACGGCATTACCCAAAATGCAAAGTATCCCAGGGTTCAAATTAAAAGTCTCGCATTATAAAGTAAACTAAAGGCTACTTGTTATTGTGTCCTCACCATAATCACTGCTACAAATCCATTTAAAGTGGGCAGTTCAGCTCATTGTACCAAAGTGAATTATTATTACAAATTGTAATTACTGTCACGACTGGAATGGTTACATTAAAAACCCGATTATCAGAGTGGAATAAGTCACCTTGATAGGAATGAGCGTTTATTTCAGTTTGGAATTATAATATGGGTTTGTCTAATGTAACATTGGCCTATAGTAATGTGGCGCTCCACTAGTTCGGATGAGCGGAGCTGGCCTGACCCTATCCTAAACTGTGACATCTCACTATCCAGCTGTGTCTTGGCACCTAGGCTGACATTGAGGAGAACACCTTCTCTGTCTTTTCTTGGCTTTTATTGAACAGAATAAGAATGCAAAATGAAACTGCGATATACCTGGCACCGTGTGCTCACAGGAAAAAGAAAATAGCAGAAAAAGAAAGCAGTAGCAACACTCCCTCACGGCATTCCATGTTCCGCGCCAACTGCGATCACACTGACACACCCACCTGTTACCCCTCTTATACTCTTCCGTACTAGTTCCTCCCCAAACCCCACATTGGACAGAACAGCGCGGGTATTTCACCGAAACAGCGGTAACCAATACATGCACAGCTTTCAACAACAGTGTCAAACCCATTTGCACACAACAAAACACATGAACATCAGCGGTCGGTCAGGGTCGCCACATAGCCCCCACCCGAGAGGGTTAGTGCCCCCACAACCCTCATCAGCCCAACACAAAGTCACTCAAATGTGTGGGGGCCCGGCGTTCACGTCCTGGCTGCCGGGTGATCCCATCCCCGCCATCAGACCCTCCCCCTGTACCACGAGAGTCACTAACCTCGTTGGGAGCGGAGGGGTTGTCCTCCGGGTCCGGTTCTGTCTCTAGTTCGGGGGCCCGCGGGTGGTATGTCTTTACAGGTATGTGCCAAAAAATTAGAATATCGAGGGAAAGTCCATTTATTTCAATAATTTGTTTCAAAAAGTGAAACTTGTATGTTATATTAGTTCACTGCACACAAAGTGAAATATTTCAAGCCTTTATTTGTTTCAATTTTGATGATTATGGATTAAAGACAAAAAAAACCCAAATCCAGTATTTCACAAAATTAGAATATCATGACAAAGTTCAACATTGTAGGCTCCCTGTGTCCCAATCTAGTCAGCTAATTAATGCAAAACACCTGCAAAGGTTTCCTCAGCCTTGAAATTGTCTCAGTCTGGCTTAGTAGGCTTCAGAATCATGGGGAAGACTGCTGACTTGACGGTTGTGCAGACGACCATCATTGACACCCTCCATAAGGAGGAAAAGTCTCAAAAGGCAATTGCAAAAGAAGCTGGATGCTCACAGAGCGCAGTATCAAAGTATATTAACAGAGTGTTAAGAAGAAGGGAAGAATGTGGCCGGAAAAGGTGCAAAAGTGACAGGGA